CTGGTTTGCATTTGGTAATGGCTCAAAGAAGATAAAATGAGTTGACTGCCCTCAGGGAGCTCAGCCTGGCTGGGGAGCCAGTGCTTTTCCAGAGCGCACGGGAGCTGAGAAGGAGGGATACCTACGCTGAGGTACTGGTGGGTCAACCGAGAGTCTTGCCAGGTGCTAAGATCTTGCTCAAGTGGTTGAGGAGGAAGGGCGTTCCCAGCAGAAGCAGCAGTTTGTATGAAAGCATGTCACGTGCCGAGCTGCATAAGCATCTGTCGGGTTAGGGGTAGTGGAGGGAGAGGAAGCCAGCAAGGTGATGATGGGCCGAGTCACAAAAAGCACTGAAGACTCCACCAAGCACTTGAGTTTATCCTTTCGGTGGTGGGGAGGAGGGAAGAAGGATATTAAGCAGGGGAATTACATGAACAGATTTATCCTTTAGAAAGATCACTCTTGAATGGGTGTGGAGGAGAGATTATAGGGCTGAGGGTGGAGGTAGAGACACCTGGCCAGGCGGCAGGTGCAGAATTCTTGATTGGAGGGGGGATTGTTTGAATGGAGGCCTGAATTAAATCAGAGGATTTGGGAGGAGGGGAAAAAATCAAGACAGACTAAGAAAGTAGAATATGAATTACTTGATTATTTATCTTGTATGTGTTGGGAGTTGTCATTAAATGATTGTTGTGCTCAGAGATCAGGAAATGTTTCTTTGGTTAGGCTAAGTAAGTCTTAAAACTCGAAGACTGCTTCTCATATTGTGGTCACAACGTGTCCTTGGAGGTCTCATGATGTTTCTGGGCTGTTTATGCTGCCTTATGCGCTGGATATATTTTAGGTTCCACACAAGTTACGGTTTCAGGACTGCTTATTTTTCAAACAAGCCGAACAAGTGATGATTCTTTTTAAAAACCATTCACTACCCCCTCACCCTGTATCCTTTTTCTGGCCGTGATCTGCCCAGTCTCTCTGCTGGTCATGACATTTATTGGCTGTCTCATCTCCTGCCTCCGCCTCTCATACCTTTCTTAACTTCCGATTAAGGAATTAGCTCTTCACTTATTCAATAAATCGTTTCACAGGTACTTGTGTCTAAAGGTTTCAGAAGTCGAGCGATACAACATCCCCTGCTGATTGAGAAAAACTGTAGGTCCACTCACTCTCCAGCTCCCGCATGCCAGAGCCTGTGTACAGAGTGTTCTACAAAGTTCAAAGAACACGAGGCTCACCCTCTAGGAGCTTGACATCTGAAAACAAGACTATGCAGGTAGAAACTGGCAGGAGGAAAATACTGGAAGCGGAAGGGTTTGGTCTGAGCCGCTGCTGCAGAGTTGCGGCCTGAAGTTAGGGTCCTGAGCGCTAACACTAATGCACTTCATTCTTTCCAGGCTTACGATGAGTGTAGCCCGGAGCCTGGGCTCTGGGGGTCTCACATCCTGGCTCTGCCACTTACTGTGTGTGTCGCCTTGGGCCAGGTTACTTAAATCTCTTGTGCTTCCCTTCATTGTGGGTAAGATGAGGAGTATAAGAGTATCTGCCCTAGGACCACCGAGGGGATTAAATGGCACATGCGTGTGTGCGCAGAGCCCACCTCCTGACACAGGCTGAGTGCAGCCAGCACTTGCTGTTGATGGCTCCCGAATGCAGAGTGAGGTGTCCTAAGGCTCACCTGAGACAGTTGTGCTTTTTGAGTTCCAAGAAGCATTGCTTTCCTTCCACACGAAAGCTGTTGGGGTTAGCCGTGAGCTCCTTTGTAGTCACTTTATGTTAATTGCAAAGAAAATTCTGTGACAGGCTTCTTCAGGACAAGTTAGTCTTTGGAGTTTTTGAGTTACCTCTTTGATCGTATCATACGTGATTGGTCATCACTTCAGAGCACTTCCAGAAATAAGTCTGAAGGCCAGCAGGTGGCAGGTAACACCTTGGAGGAGAGTGAGGCATCACTGCCTCTCTGAGACCCTCCGTGGATACCCATCACCTCCCTCCTCATTTGAGTTCAACACACATTGGGCACCACTGCCTTTCAGTTCTGTATGAGGCTCCAGGGGTCCAAGGCTGAACAGACAATTCCCGTTCTCATGAAACTTAGTTTGGTGGAAATATATGTAAACACATCTAATCCACTGTGATACAAGCACAAATGGAAGCATGTAGAAGGTCAGAGAGGTACATAGGAAGAAGCATAAGGAACGTTGCACAGACTTGGTGACATCTCAGTAGACTGTGAGTAGGAATAGGGCAAGTCAGCAATCGGCATGGTTTACAGGAGAACTGGACCGTGGGGTGGGGTTGGGTGGGGGGATATGTGATAGGAGATAAAATTGAAAATGGAGGCTGGAGCTAGACCGTGTAAAAGCTTGGCCTTTATCATGTGGACATGGGGGCCGCTGAATGATTTTAGGCAACAGAATGCCATAAGATTTGCATTTTTAGCAGGATCATCCTCACGTGGAACATGAACTTGCAAAGGATGTAGGATGTGCCGGCAGGTTCATGTCCTCAATGCACATTCATTGAGGCCAGCAACGGAGTCCTATGTCCCTCTGCATTCCTAAAGCCTAGTATTGTGTAGACACTGAAGACATTTTTTGGAATAAAGACAGCCCCAGTTGAAGTTTCCAATTCTGCATCCTCTCCTCAGAACATGCTGACCTGGACCTCCATCTGTCACAAGCAGCTTGACTAGGATCGCAATAAATTCTTTTTTCTTGGCATTCTTTTAACTGGCACTCTCTATTTACTAGCCCTTCTGTGCAACTGTAGTGTGGTGATGATTGATGCTTATAATTCTGACCCTGAAGTGCTCCAAGCCTTCTAAATCATCCAAAAAAGATGAAAGTATATTCAATATTGCTGTAATGTTTGTGTGTTTTACTGAATTCTTGTTCTTTGGAAATTGATGGTTTATCAAGTGCTCATATACTCATGTGCATGCAGGGGCAGTGAGAGTCTGTGATCACCCACGACTCTTCACTCCCGCACAGCACCAGGTGAGGGGTGTTTATTAGCAATGCACACTCAGAAATTAGCGAGCAAAACAGACCTGGGCTCTCTTCATGCCTAGAAGGAAGCAGGTTGGCCCCAAAGGGGCAGACTGGACAGAGATGAGAGAGGAAGCAGTGGTTAGAAAACAGTGAGAGTGATAAAGCAAGAACTGGACAGACAGCCAGTCGGGCAGTTTCTAAGCACACCCATGCCGCGGCCCAGCCCCAGAGGAGTGGGGCTCGGGGCTGGGACCCCAGCCTCAGGTTCTCGTGTGCCTTGACCCGGGTCAGATTTTCGGGCTTGGATTTGGCAGGATCTTCCACCAGCTCTGTTTGTATTGCAGTAACAACTGTTCAGTAAAATGCCAAACATTAGCAAGTGAAAACATCAATAATTGGAGCATCCTGTTCACGCCGCACACACATCTTATCGTGAAAACCATTATAACTGCAGAGCTGACAATATTATTTGGCCCAGAATGAAGAGCTCCAAATGGAAGCTGTGAGATGGCTCCATTTTGTAACCCGGTTTCCACAGCCAGGCACGTGATGATGTTATTAGGAGGGAGGTTTGCTGTTGGCTTTTTCTTTTGGGGGTTGTATGTTGCAGTGAGTAGAGACACCTCTTACATTTTCTTGTACAGATTTGTTTTTAAAATCTGCGTGTTTGATCAACAAGTGCCTGGTCCCCGCACCACAGGGATTCTATTCTGTTTGTCACCCTCTGGGCAAGGGCACTTGCGGACTCTCGAGCTGGCTTTAACATTTTCTGCTCTGAGATTCCAGTGAGTCTCTTGGTCTCTCTGGGTCTTAGTTTTTTCTTTTTCTGACATATTGGAATAATACAAATTCCCTCTTTATAGGGTTGCTGTGGGGCTGAAATAAAACGGCGGATGTAAAAAAGCTTAACTGGAAAGTCCTACGTAGATAATAACATAGTAAATACACTAAAGAATACCATAAATAATCTAATAAAAAATAGAAATATGTTTTATCAGCAAGCATAATGTCCTCAAAACTTACCCCAAAGCGGTGTGGGGAAAATGAACCATGTATTGAATTCCTGCTGTGGAGGAGATTTGCCAGCTGTGACTTTGTCCCCTCTGCAAGGTGGACATTGAACCCCTCTCTCAGAGGTGAGGAAACTGAGGCTTCCAGCCCCACAGCTGTACATCTACACAGCGGAAGTGGGGTCTGGACCTGACTCCAGAGCTGAATGCTCTTTCTTCTCATCTCTAGTTGTCTACCTCATTCCAGCCACCTACCCACTCCCCCACCCCCCAAAGTGCTAAGAGCTGTTTACGTCCCTTGGGGCCAGAAAGTTGGCCAGCCCTTTCTTGGTCTTTTGCTCCTGAAAGCGGGACAGGGTGGGATCCAGAAGGAGCTCAGGAGCCCCAGGAGCCCTGGAGGGACCAGCAGCTTGGGGAGGTGAGTGGGGAGCACGCTCAGCCTCCACTTCTAGGGAGTCGGCCAGGCCTGGACCGAGAGTAGGAGGCAGGAGTGCAGCATTTCCCAGCCCTTGAGGAGATGGCTGCAGTCCTGTCGTTTCCAGAAGTTCATTCCTTCTGTGTCACGGTGTCTCCCAACCTCACCGAGGTTGTTTGGAGAGCTGCTTCTCAAATCCTCCTCTCAGGAATCAGTGCCTCCTGTGTGTTCTGAGCGGCTCCTTGTTCTTCTAGCAGAGGCAGTGACGTTAAGTTTATTTCCTGTAGTAACCACTCTGCTGAGCTTTTCTGGGACCTCCCCTGTTAACTTTGATGTCATGTCAGGTATGGGTAGGGGGGAAGGACCCCCGATGTGGCAGTTACTAGGTGCCCAATGGTACCCACCACCGCACGCATCTTCTTTTTTATATAAACTAGCTCCGACTCCAGATACACTGAGTCGGCTTGTAAGCCGAGCTGTCTACACAGAACCAGAGCTGATGCCATCGAAGGGCCGGATGGCCAGATTCGGGGAGGATGTCCACAGGTGGAGGAGCGTTTGTTCAGAAGGTGGGTCTGAGAGGAGCCGCGTGTTCTGTCCCCCCAGGTCCTAAACAGGCGGTGTGTGGAAGCAGCCGTGATGACCGGCCTGGCCCTGGACTGCCACATCAACAGGAGGTCCTTGTTTGACCGGAAGCACTACTTCTACGCAGACCTCCCTGTGAGTATGCTCTGCCCTCCGTCCATCCATCCGTCTGTCCACCCCCCCAGAGCTGGGGCTTAGCCGTGGGAGCGGGCTGAGCGCTTCTTCAGCCAGAGCTCCATCCATCCCAGTGGGAGGCCCTGCCCGGCCTGATGAAGCCAGTGCCCCCTGACGTTTACTAGATTGGATGCCAGGGTCCTGATCGCCGGCTCTGGCGGAGCCTCGTGCTTCTGGCGGCTCGCTCCTAACTGCGGAGGGGAAGCAGCCCGCGCTCTCAGGCTCAGCCCAGCTGTGGGGTTTGGTGCTAATTGTCGTTAGGACAGAAGCTACTTCCATGGCTGATGCAGCAGTCAGTGCCTCCTGTGGCTCCGGAGGCAGAGCGAGAGTGTCCCTCTGTTAAGTTGGAGGTCCCAGTAACAGGACCGGCTCCTCTGCAGACATTCATGTCGTCCCCAAGTACTGAGTAAGTGGGCAAGAGCAAGCAGAAACGTGAACCGGAAGCCTGGATGAACGGCAGTAATTGGCCGAGCAGTAAACCCAATATTAACCTGCTTTTTCCTTAAAATTAGAAAGGTTTTTTCTTTAAGAGGAAAGCCAGTGTGAACTAGAGCCAATTTTTCATAATACTGAACTGAACCAAAACTGTGATGTCAAGTGTGTTTCCCAAAATAATGTTTGATTTGCTCTGAGCCTCTGATAGTAAGTGTGGCCCTTCTTGAGGCTTAGGAAATCAATAGTGATGATATTGCTTCACGTTATTCTCTCTGAACTGAAGGCGGGGGTGAGCTGTTTTCAGCAGGTGAGGGCAGGAGTAGAATGAAATAAAAAATACAGCTGGAACCTGAATTCTCCAATTGCTGCTGCTTTTTCCCTCTGGCTGCCAGCCTTGTAGTAAATTCCGCTGCTTGGTAGGGTGGAGAGAATTAAACTGCATTTTTTTCATCTTTTAAGAGTGATAACGAGTTTGGTTCAGGTGGGAGACTTAGCAATATGTGACTAAAATGAGATGTTTTATTAACTCTGGCTTTCTGGATTTTCTTGCCCAGGTAGCTCAGATAATCTGGAGGTCGTGTTGCCAAATATTACATGAGACAGACACACTTACACTAAAAAAAGACTTGTTTTTATCTAAATAAACAACGTATTCAAATTATTCCAATTTCACCAAGCATCTGTATTTTATTTGGCAGCCCTACCCAGAGTTTAATTTTCACAGATTGAGACTTCTTGTCTCAGCACAGAGAGCAAATTGAACTAATGCAGTGGTTCTCAAAGTGTGTTCTCTAGGCCACTAGCATCAGCGTCTCCTAGGAACGTGTCAGACATATAAATTCCCAGGAGCCACCCCAGACGTGCAGTCAGAAACGCTTCAGATGGAGCCAGAAGATCTTTGTTTTGACCACTCTACTGGATGGTTCCAATGCAGCTGAAGTTTGAACAATGCTGGCCGAGTAGCTAGGGGCGCAGACTCTGAGTCAGACTATCTGAGTTCAGATCCTGACATTGATACTTACTAGCTCTGTGGCTTTGGGCAAGGCCCTTCACCCCTCCATGCCCTGTAGCTCCTTCCTAGGGTTGTCTTGAGGATTAAATGGTGTGAAGTACCGAGAACCATGTCAGGGGATACTAACTGTGTCAGTGTCATTCTCTGTTCTTCCCCAGTTCTCCGACCTGACCTGCCTTCTCTTTAGTGTGTGTTGATGCACATGTGCATTTGAAAGTAATTCTTCCTCCCCACTTAGAAGGTGGCGAGGGAGCTCTGGCAACATCCATCAGTATTTTAGTACTCTGTGCTTTGCATTAGCCGGGCGTGAGTGTCACAGCATTTTCTGGCTCGAGGAACAAGGGAAGTCGGGTCAGGGAGGGCAGCTGACATGACTGGTGAGCTCGAAAAGCAGGAATGAATCCAGCTTCACCGCACTAGCAACTGGTGTTAGCTGTGCTGAGAGTAGATGGCAGGATGCTTAGCCAGCACTTCCAGTAAGAGGGTCTGTCAGGAGCCCAGTAATCAGATGCAGGGCTGAGCTAATGAGCTTAGTGGAAACAATACGTTCTTTTCTTAGAGGCTTCAGACAGAGAGATTATTGTTATTCCCCAGAATGGTACTCCCTAGGGAAGATAGGATCCACGTTGTTCACTGCTTCATTATTGGGGGTGTGGGTTCCGGGATGGGGAAAGGGGCGTCCAGAGAAGCCAGAAGAGGCCAGGCTAAATTACGGCTGCAGCACATAAACTGATTTGTGTCTCCTTTTCCTTTTCTCCTATTCTGTTCTGTTGTGGTTTTAAGTAAGTCTGTAGTTTTATGACATTAAAAGGAATGATCAACTAGTTCCCAGCTTTGACCTACAGACGAGTGACTCTGGCCCACATTTGCGTGCAGGCCGGCTACCAGATTACCCAGCAGAGGCTGCCGATCGCCGTGAACGGGAGCTTGGTGTACAGCGTCTGTGTGGGGAAGAGGCAGAGTCAGATGGTCACCAAGACAGCGGGGGTCAAGCAGATCCAGCTGGAACAGGACAGCGGCAAAAGCCTCCATGACAGCCTGCGGTCCCAGACGCTCATTGATTTGAATAGAGCGGGTAGGCTTGGAGAGTCCCCATTTTCCTTCCTGCCACTTCCCTTCCCCTCCAGAGTTTGCCCAAACCAACTGAGGAGACAGGCCCTGGAGCCTGACTAATGGCGATCGGAATATCAGTGTTGGTGTTGGCAGAGCTGCTTAGAGAGCTGGGCTAGGACTGTGGTTTCTATGCGCTTGCAACTAACCCACCCCTAAAACGAGACAGCGTCGCCGCCTAGTCACAGACCCAGCAGCTTGACATCTGAAGCAGACATTAAAAGAAAGGAACCAAAGTTAAAAATCCAAAAGTGTGGGGAAAGTGAAACGATTCAGGGCCTGTCAGTGCTGCAGGGTTTTCCTAAGTTTCAGCCTGATGTATCTGCGGATCAGACTGGAGAGCTCCAGTCAGACTGACTCTGCCTCTCTTTGGTAGGGGTCGGCCTTCTGGAAGTGGTCCTGGAGCCTGACATGTCCTGTGGAGAAGAGGCGGCTGCAGCCATCAGGGAGCTACAGCTGATTCTTCAGGCCCTGGGGACCAGCCAGGCGAACATGGCAGGTAGCAGCCACAGAAGCAGTGCCCGCCTCTTCCCCATCTCCCTTTCTACTCCCGGGCTCTCTCCTCACTGGAGTCTTATTCTCTGCAGCAGCTACAGTGGGGTTGTTTGCATCCTTTTCTCAGCCTTTTCTACCTCAGGGTTTTGGGGTTTTTTCCTTAGAATTTTCCTTGAATTTTTTTCTGAGCCCCCGACCAAAAATAAACACACAAACAGCGGCCCTGCAGAGGTGCTGAGCCCAAGAGTGTGAGACTAGGAGTCCAGGGACTGGAGGTGTCCTCCTGGACTCTTGCATCAGGACGTTGTGAGAATTAATAAAATAATATGTTTGAACAGCTTCATCGTCCTCAGAAGACCCTGTGTTTATGCACAGTAGCTCTTAGTTTGTGAGTTCTGTGTGGGCAGTGCTTCATTGCTACTGGATGCTTTTCCTCTGGGTCTCTTTCTGCCTTTTATAGAATTTCCATCCAGGTAAGCTGAAGGCAGATTGTATCGACTACAAACCAAGGTTATGATTTCACAAAACTTTAACTTTGAGATAAAGTCTGAAATTCAATAGAAATATAATAGGGAATTAAACAGAAGAAACAATGTGAAAACTTGGGATCAAGGAAATTATACATTTTAAGTGTTTGCAAATTGGATGCAAAGATCACAAGTTTTGGTCAAACCCAGTTTCTTCATGAGCCTTTCCTAGCACTGCTTTGCCCACTCTTACATCCCTGAAAGCCCATCTCTCCCGTGGTTTTCCCCTATTTTCTGTTCCCAGGGGCTTTTAAAAAACGTCTGCCACTCGCAGAGCACTCCCTGGCAGCGTGGAAAAAGGGTGCAGGTTCTGCATGTACAGTGGCTAATCCATCTCTCAGTCCAGTGGCGTACTAGTCAGGGTTTTCCAGAGAAAGAGAACACATAGAATGTGTGTGTGTGCACGTGTATGTGACGTGTAAAGAGATTTATTATAAGGAATTGGCTCATGTGACTGTGGAGGCTGAGGCGTCCCTGAGATCTGTAGTCATCAAGCAGCAGGAGAGTCAATAGTATAGTTCCAGCTCAGGACTGAAGGCCTGAGAGTCAGGAGAGCCAAGGACGTAAGTTCCAGTCTGAGCCAGAGTCCAAGACAAGACCAGTATCCCCAAGACAAGACCAGTATCCCCGATCCAAGGCAGTCAGGCAGAGACAGCAAATTCCCCCGATGCCAAAAACTCGACCTCTGTGCGCTGGTGCCAAATCGAATCTCAGAGACAGAGTTTGGGGTGAAGTAGAAAAGAATAGCTTTACTCCTTTGCCAGGCGGAGGGGAACACAGTGGACTCATGCCCTCAAAACTGTGTGTCCCAACCCAGGGGGAGTTGGTGAGGAGTTTTACAGCAGTGGTTCAAGGGCTGGGTTGCTGATAAGGATCAGGGTGTGAGCAGGGCCTGCATTCCTTTAATCTGGTCTCCTGCTGAGCTTCTGTGGTTCTTGAGGCTATCACATCATGACCTTCTCTCTGGAATGAAAAATGCTTCATCAGGTAGTTAACATCTTCCATTTGTTGGAGGTTTTAGTTCTGTAAAGAGCTCAAAGATAGTGTTATGTGTATCCCTTGAGGGGGAACCAGGACCCTGCCCCAAGGCTGCACTGTTGTTTCTTGACTGCTTCTCCCTTGTCTCTGCATCCCCTCCCTTCCCTGATTAGCAACTGTATGAACCTGCCCTTTGGAACTCAGGGAAGGTCATGGAGGCTGGAATCTGTTCTCTACAAACAAGAAACAGGGACACAGAAAGGCTTCCATGTCCAGGAGCCCCGCAGGGTCCTGCTTGGCTTCACCCCCACTCTGCCTTTTGTTCTATTCTGGTTTTCAGCGGATTGAATGAGGCTCACCCACGGTGAGCAGGCAATCTGCTTTACTCAGTATATCAATTTGAATGTTCATCTCATTCAGGAATACCCTTACAGACACACCCAAAATAACGTTTAACCAAATATCAGAGCATCCCTTGGCCCCGTCAAGTTGACACAAAAAATTAACCACTGAACATGTCACAGAGGGTGCCACTAAGTACCATTGGTGGGGACGATTCATCTCCCTGTCGGTTTATCATACCATTTACCGACCATTTTGTCACGCGTTTATTCACATGTTACAAAGGGACTTCAGAATTTGTAATGCCACATTTGTCACATAGGACATCTAATGGGCAACAAATTGTAACACCAAAGCCCTGGTACAAGTTGAATCTAGAGATGGAACTTGCCAATTTGCTCTCTTCTTTAAGCTAAAGTCTGGAAAAACACAGCCAGCCACATGAGTTTGAGTGGAGTGCTCTGTGTTAGAGCAAGAGAATTCTCCATTGTAGAATGGAGAATTGGCTCATGCTGTCTTTTTACCCACAGAATAGAAATGAAATATGGGCAGATTGGATAGTTATCCATTTATGCACTGTTGCTTTAAAGAAGTTTTATTATTCCATTCTTCTTCAAAATAACTGTGATTCCTACCAAACCTATGGAATAATAAACAGGCCACCTGTTAGCTGAGAAATAGTCCCATCGGGTCCTTGCCAAGAGATAAACCGTAACAGTGAGAACTCATCAGGCAGTGACAGCTGAGAGGGTTCATTAAATCTCATTTGTTGTGACACTTTTTGTTGCTTTTAAATACAAATCAGACAGCTTTGCCCCCAGCACAGCAGCAGAGTGGCTGATGTTGTCCTGAAGTGCTCTGGGTAGTGAAGGTCTGCCTGGAGTCTGCAGGTGTCCAGCTTTTGGTTTTCTCAGCACTTTATCAGCCCAGGCCCCTTTCCCATCCTTCTGTCCCACCACCATAGGCCACTGTGTCGCCATTGGAGAATGCAGCCTGGGAACCAACGGGAAGGCTGCCCTGGAGAGCACCAGTGGACCCCCAGCGTGCTTTTGGAATGAAACTTAAATTGCTCCGGGCTGTGCTTCAGTGAGTTCCTGATAGTTTTGCTAATGAGCGTAGACTAGCTCAGCTTGGGTTCCAGAAGTCACTTCCTTCTCAGGATGTTTGCCACTGTTGAGATCCTCAAAGCAGTCTGCTGAGTTGAATGTGTACCAAAGTATATAGATACGCTAAATGTTTCCAAGGTTGTAATATCTGCCAGTTTGAACATCGAGTATGTGCTCATCAGTTCACTAAGCATTTTTTAAATTAAGTTATTGTCTCATTTAAACTTTATGACATTCTTGAGAGATGGGTATTACTGTGCCTACTGTACAGGTGAGGAGTTGAGGCTTCCAGAGGTTGGGTTATTTGGCCAAGGTGCACAGGAAGTGCCCGAGCCCGGGTGTGTCTGACTTCTGGACGCCTTCCTTTGTAAGCACTGTCACCCCGCTTCCTAGTGCCAGCCATGACAGTGTCTCCACTGCTGTAGATAACAACCTTGAGGGCTTCCCTGGTGGCGCAGTGGTTAAGAACCTGCCTGCCAATGCAGGGGACAAAGGTTCAAGCCCTGGTCCGGGAAGTTCCCACGTGCCGCAGAGCAACGAAGCCCGTGTGCCACAACTACTGAGCCTGCTCTCTGGAGCCGGCGTGCCACAACTACGGAAGCCCGAGTGCCTAGAGCCTGTTCTCCGCGACAAGAGAAGCCACCGCAATGAGAAGCCCACGCACTGCAACGAAGAGTACCCTTGCTCGCCGCAACCAGAGATATAGCACGTGCGCAGCAAGGAAGACCCAACGCAGCCAAAAATAAATAAGTTAATTAAAAACAAACAACCTTGGGAGCTGGGTCAGCAGAGTGTGAGTGCTGAGGGTACCGCAGGCCCAGACCCGGGTTGGAATCCTATGCTACCGCTTCTAGCTATAGAAACTGGGCGAGGTATTTGACTTCTGTGAGCCTCCCTTTCCACACTTGTGAAACGAGTCCCTAAATAATTGTATATGGAAAGAGAAAGGAAGAAACCAAAGAGGAGAGGAAGTCATCCAAGTCATCAAACAGAGTTGGGGCAGCAGGGTGGGAAGAGCAGGCGAGGACTGGCCTTGTGGAAGAAAACCTGGAATACCGTCTTGGACGTGTCAAGTGTGAATTGCCTAAAGGACGTCTAAGTGGATGTGTCATTAAAGCTCTGCTGTAGGGAAGGAATGTGGCAATGTGCATAAAACGTATCACAGGTCCTGACAAATAGCCTGTGCTCATGAAATGTCAGGTGCTTCTATTGCCAATAATAAGTAGAATCACCACTCATTGTGGATGAATAAACTTTGTGAAATATGTTGGATAAAATTGAGCCACAGTATATATTTTACCTTATTTTTTGTCAAGCCCTGTTATTTAAGTTCTGGAGGGTATTCAGTGATCAGAATGAGACAGCTTAAGAGACTTTCTCACTAAAGCTTCAGGCCTTTGCTGTTTAGAGAAACAGTTTTCTGCCCTGATGTTATATTTCTGATGCGTGAATGTGTTTAAAAAAAAAAAACGTGACTGCACCATGTCACTGTGCTCAGTAGTACGGTTTTTTCGTTTTGCTGTTACAAATTTCTACTTCTAGAGGGTGGGAATTGAGCTTGATAACGTTCTTGTGAAGGCCCTCCCCCAGTGTTGCAGAATGCATTGAGGCAAACGTGACTGTGAGGCTTTTGTGGACTTGAGGCAATTTACCTTTAATTTGTTTAAAAGGTATTTTGTCTTCACTGGGTAAATGCCTTTTGTGAGTGTTGGATACTGTGTTGGAATCCAGGCAAGTGAACTGCCTTTCAACACTGCAGGACACTAAATGAGTCCCCTCAGACATCTATGGAGTGCGGTCTTCTCTGGGAGAGACTGAAACTCATGCTTTTATTCCTTTTCCAAATTAAAAGTCTAAATTGTGAAAGATGGTTTTATTTTTAAAAGCAGGAGAGGTCCAATTCAGGGTTCTCAGGGCTCAAAAAAAGTTCTCTCCCAAGTATCGAGGTTTGGCTGGGCAGAGCTCAGCATACTTGGGAAGTTTTCATTTGAGCTGAATGGGCCTTTCATAGGATTCAGTAGATTAGTCCTATTCAGACAGAACTTTAGAACTTGTCGGGAACCTACCGTGAGACCAGTCTGCTTACTCGTGGCTCAGGAAAATACCAAGGTATGAGTTTATCGAACAATGACCATGTGCCAGAGGCAGCTCTAGGTTCTGAACAGAGCAATGAAAAGGACATTGTTCCTGCTACCTAGAGGAAATATTGTATTCGCGAGGGAGACAAATACACTAACAAATAGAACAAAGTAGTTACAGTGGTAAGTGCTTTAAGGAAATACAGAGGGTGCCGTGATAAAGAATACATTGGATGGTGAGGGCCTCTGGAGAATGAGCCGAGGCCCCAGCCCCAGGGAGCTAGAGCATCAGGAAAGAGCCCAGGCAAAGTCCCTGAGGTGAGGAGAACGTAGAGTATATGCTTGGAGGTAACACAGGTGGCAGAAGACCACTGTAGGGGAAGCGCAAGGAGCAGGGCAATGTGGCCTCAGGTAAGACTGAAAAGGTCTGCGAGGGCTAGATCACCAAAAATGATAAGAGGTTTGGATTTCATTCCAAGGGCAGTGGGAGGTCAAGGAAGGGCTTTTAAGCCAAGGAACGTCGGATTACCGTTTTGGAAAACCGCCGCGGCTGCTCCGTGGAACGTGGGTTTTAGAAGGGTATGAGTAGAAGCTGAGCCCAGTTCCGAAGCTTTGGCAGTAGTTCAGGTGGAGGATGGTGCTCTTCTGGACAGGGCTGGTGTCGGTGAGGATGGAGAGAGCAAGATGGTGGATTCGAGGTGGTTTTTAGAAATAACAGGATTTTTGTTAACAGGCTGGTGTAGAAGGCAAAGAGGCCGGAAGAAGTCAAGGAGGCTTGAGGAACGAGGTGGCGGTGCCATTTGCTGACATTGGGAAGATGAGGACAAAGGTGCATGTGTTGCAGGGGCAGATCCTTTAGTTTCAGAAACTGAAACGCCTGGGCCAGCTCCACGTGGAGATGAAGTAGGCGCAGAGGTCAGTGTGGATGGAGTTCAGAGTAGGGTTTTGGCTGAAGAGAGAAATTCAGGAGTTATCAGAGCTTGGATGGTGTTTGAGACCATATACATTTACAGAGAGAGTGCAGGTAAAGAAGACAGTCCTGAGTCTGGATGGGAACAAATGACAAGGACATGGAAAGTGTCCAGGAGGTAGGGGCCAGCTAAGGGTGAGTAAGGTCACAGCAGCCGAGGGAGGAAGATGTTTCAGGGAGGAAGCGTTGGTTGGTAGGTCACATGCCGCCGAGGGCCGGCGTATCCAGTGAGGGGAAGACACAGCGTGTCCTGCATCCGTGGGATTTGGCAGCCAGGGGTTGATGGTGACTTTGACAAGGCGTTTTGCAGAGAGGTGGGGACAGAAGCCAGGCTGACGTGGGTGTAGGAGTAAATGGGAGGTGAGCTCACGGAGATGAGACGCCAACAAACAAGCAGTACTTGTTTGAGAGGATTTGCTGAAAAGGAAAGCAGAGCAATAACAGCAGAATGATGAAGAGAGAACTGGGTTCAAGGGAGTGGGTCTTTGGGGTTTGTTTCTAGTGAGAAATACTGTTGATTATGGGTACACATGCATAGAGGGAATGCTGAGGAAGAGGGTTAAGGAGTGCTGTGGGAGAGAGGAGAGAACTGAAGGAGTGATGTCTTTGGGAAGGCAAGAGGGGTGGGAGTTTTAAATCTGGGCTCCATTCCCAAGTGCCTTCCATCTGGTCTCAGAGAAAAGACTAATTCAAAATAGACTACAATCGTGTGCTCTACTGATTGCATGTATTCTCTTAGCTCCGAGGAGCCAGCCACCAGTGGAGGCCAGCCTACTGATGAGGGTTTCCAGGAGGAGAAGGTGGTACCACTTATGTGGGACCTCGAAGGATGAGCTGAGGTTGAAGGAGGGACAGTAACAGGGATGACGAGGACCTGTGGGAACCAGCGAGCAGACAGAAGCTTCCCTGGTGGGAGGAGGCTTTCTCAGGGAATGAGCAGCAGGAAATGTGGGGTGCATCAGTCAAGACCACACGAGGGCTCTTGCATACCAAGCAGAGGAGGTGGGATGACCCAGTGGGAGCCAGCTGTGCACTTGGTCAAGCGCTGGGAGTGGTGCAACCGTCCTGCAGCAGGATGTGGCCGGAACCGAGCTGGAGTGGGGGGGGGGCTGGACCAGGAGGGGGTCACTGGGTTGAAGGTCAGGATGGGATGCGGGGGCTCAGGCAAGGATGGCAGCCGTGGGAATGGAGAGGAAGTGACAGCTCTGAGGGATGTCTGGGGGAAGGAGCTGACAGGATCTAGTCAGTTAGACTACAAAGGGCCAAGAAAACAGAGCAGCAAAGGATGCCGCAGGTTTCCTAGACCAAGAGTCTGATGACATCAGGAGTCGTTGGGACTTCTTGAGATTCAAGGAAGCACGTGGTGTCCTAAAGGGGCTATGGGATTTTGTAGAAATGTGAGAGGTACGTGCTGGAGACATAGAGTAATTTCTGGGCTGAAAGGCACCTTTTCCCTGCCTGTCAACGTGGGTGGCCGTTGGAGCAGCAGAGTGGGAATGACAGAGACCTGTTGCAAGGGTCTCTTTTTCTTGGCATAGAATATATTTGAGCTATTTTATTATTTTAATATGCTTTTGCTATGAAACCTTGGAAAAGAAATTGCTTTCTTCAGCCCATCGACACATTCCTCTTTGGCAGATTCTTTTTTAGTTCAAAGACTTGCCTAAGAAAAATCCAGCATTTTGTCTTCCCCTTTTGTTCTGTTTTAAATATTGTAAGTGGAATTGGAGAACAGAGAATTGGGGCCTTACCTTGCAGGGTATAAAATGTGATGATTTCTTATCTTTATCTCTCTTTGGCTTGAGATTTTGCCTCCCTCTCCTCCTCAAGAGCCTCTTGGCCCTCTCCATAAACCACCTGCTTCCTTAGGGATTACTGTTCCCAAAATGGGGGGGTTTGCAGGGTCAGAGAAGGTCCTCCCAGGATGGGGATGGCCCCCTCTGAGTCCCTCCCCCACAGACCATCCCCTTCATAACAGCACTGTCTGTCTGCTGCGGCAAACCCTTACAGCAGTCAGGAAGGATTCCGAGTCCTGTTTACAGAAGGAAGAGATCATTACAGTACCTGGAGGAAGGACGAGGGGAAAAGCCCAGATTTCTGGCTCTTGCCCTTGAGCTGTAAATTCTCAAGGACTCTCTTATAAATCTCCCGGAATCACTGTTGGAAATCCACATTCCATTGGAGAGCAGTGTAGGGCTATCACATGATCATTTCTGAAGCCTTCCCCCCCAACCCAGCTCTGACACTTTGAAGAACACTTCGGAATAAAACTGCAGGGTAAAACTCCATTTTTTTTTTTTTTTTTTTTTTGCGGTATGCGGGCCTCTCACTGCTGTGGCCTCTCCCGTTGCGGAGCACAGGCTCCGGACGCACAGGCTCAGCGGCCATGGCTCACGGGCCCAGCCGCTCTGCGGCATGTGGGATCTTCCCGGACTGGGGCACGAACCCGCATCCCCTGCATCGGCAGGCGGACTCTCAACCACTGCGCCACCAGGGAAGCCCTAAAACTCCATTTTTAACAGTGTTGTTTTTCTTATTTGGCATGAAAGAAATTAGATTTCCCAAGCCAGTATATCCAGAATTTCTCCTGCCTTCTGCTTGTGCACAAGTGCACAGAAATATACACACACCCCTCAGATGCCTTAGGACCATCATTTTCGCAAGTGGGCAGAAGTACTATCCATGAACTTCAGGACCAACCATACTTCCTCTGAGGTTAGGCTGCTGTAACTAAACAGCAACTAGAGTTAGATGTTGCTTGCACTCTCTTGCCTTAAAAAAAGCACGATTGCCTCAGAGAATTTCTAAAGTGTTGTCTTTTTTCTTTCCTTACAGAGGGCCAGTTGAGAGTGGACGCCAACATATCTGTGCATAACCCTGGGGAGCCTTTGGGCGTTCGAACCGAAGTAAAGAATCTCAACAGTGCCAGGTTTTTGGCCAAAGCTATAGGTGAATGTCAGCTGTTACTCCTCATATACTTCTTTGTATCAGTTATCTGTTGCTGTGTAACAAGCATCCCCCCCCCCAAGTTAATGGCTTACATGATAACATCTCAACTTCAGAGTTTTGTGGCTTGGGTGGGTTTTCTATTTGTCCTGCCTTGGCTCATTCATGTGGCTGTGGGGAGCCGGCAGCTCTGCTGAGATACACAGGGTCCAAGATACCTCACTCACGTGTCGCAGCCTTGGTGCTGGACGTCTGCTGGGCTGCTCTACCCACGTGGGCTTGCTTCATTCACTTGCCTAGCCCAGCCCTTCTTATTTGGTGGAGGGGGCACCCCAGGAGGATGAAGGCAGATGCCTCAAGGCCTCTTGAGTCATTAGCTCTAGAACTTGCACAGCATCTCTTCCAGCACATTCCATTCAAAGCAGGTTCAAGAGGAGGGGAAATAGACTTCATCTCTATGGGAGGATCTGCAAAATCCTGTAACTCTGTTTTTCCATGTACCACATTCCTTCTGACCAGACCGAACTGTATAAAGTCGTATTTGTTCATTATAGATGGCCACGATTTGACCTAATTGGTCAGTATGTTTTTCTGCTTTTTACCGTTTTAACTAAGAGATTGCTTGGGCCTGTGTAATCAGGTATTGGTCTTGTTTGTTCACATTGTGGATCTTTCAGTGTGGACAAATGTATACTAGTAGTTAAAATCGAACAGTTGAGCAAGATCAACATCTAGGGTGGTCCATAGAAGTTGATATCTGTGAATGTGAGGGGAAGACATCTCAGAGGAATGAAAATATTCTTTAAAACCAAAGGTATCTAGAGAGGAAGAGAGGAGGGAGGAGGTGGAGGTTAAGGCGCACCCTTCAGGGTGCACAGAGAATGGGACGGATGAATGTGGAGTCACAGCCAAAAGGTTTAGTAGCATCCTGGGTATTAGAAGGAACACAAAAAAGATTTTCTAATCTTGTATAAAACTTTATTATCCTGAACCTAAAATGATCAACTAGCCTCAGTGAAGACACTTTGAGTCTACAAGTTTTCAGGAAAAAAGCATTAAAATGGTCAAGGGGATGACTTACAGGAGAGGAAGGTGTTGGGGAAGGTCCCCGCGTGAAGACAGACTAACGATGGTGGACTCTTCTGCCTGTAAAAGGAGACGCAGTCCATATTTCTGAGGCCATGATAGGTTTGGGTTAGGGAAAACCCTCCAGCTCAGGTTTGTGAAGGGGAAGCTTGGAATGAACAGAAAGAAAGTTCCACTTCACCTTGTAGGTGATAAGTGTTCTGGAACTCATTATTCTAAGAGGTGGTGATGGGAACCTAAAAAACAAGATTTAGGTAGATTCATCCCTGATGACTTACGATGGAGACCCCTGCCTGATTTTGGCTGTCCCTAACCTGTTATCTTATGAAGGACCCTTTGGAGTAGTCTGAGACAGAATTCTACCTGTGGTCTGACTCAGGCTGGAAGAACCGAAGCTTTACTGTTATGTGCTTAATTCTTCAAGCCTGTAATTTTTCTACCCCATGTTTCTCCCTACATCACGCCTTTTAGCCATCCTCTTCGTGTTGCTGCTTTTTATCAGCTATGATAAGAGTTTGGATTTGGGCAAGGGCAGGTGGTACATGTTGGGCGGGGAGTTGAGGGGGGAGGGGAAGCTAAAGCTGTTTTCATAAGGAAGCTTAGCAACTGTGGCTGTGCTTTGCTTTACCACTTCTGCCTTGTTGGGTGGTGAGGGACTGTGGCATAGAGCAGTGGCTGTTCATCATTTGGGGTCATAGATCCCTCTCCATATTTTGGAGAGAGGGTCCAGAATTTTTATTCTGGACCCTCTCTCCAAAATATGTGCCTGTGCACACATGCACGTTTGCATATAATCTCAAGAGGTACTAGAACCCCTTGAAGGCCACCCATGGATCCTGCGATAAAAATTCTTGATAAGCAGCGATCTTAGATCTGGGGTCATTCTGCCTAGATATTGGTCCTAGCCCTGCTTCTGCCACGTTTTGTAGCCTGTACTGGGTTACGCAATCTCTCTGAGTCTGGGTTTTCTCAAAAAGTGAAGAAGCAGAGCTTCCTAAAAGGCCCTCTCTAGCATGATTATTCTATGACGGCAGCAAGAATAAAATATAGCATCTGTGGGAAGAATTATAAACAACTCCCTTGATTAGTTTTTGACATAAAGATTGAAAAAGATGTCTAATTATTGCTAAACTGGATGAAAGGAATCAAAATATGATACTAAACTATTTTTTTTAGACTATGAAATTCAGAGGCAAATCAATGAACTCGAGAATGGAGGTAAAATCCTGAATGAAACTCGCTCGTTCGATTACAAGCTGGGGTGAGTTTGCATGACAGCATCTTGAATACAGGTAGGTGGGGCTCCAGTCTGGACTCACCACAGACCAGCCATGTCACCTTGGAGAAGGTACTTAGCTTCTCTGCACTTTGGTTTCCTCATTAGTAAAATTAGGAAAATACGGTACTCTACAGGGTTGTGATATGCCCTCTAGGGCTGGTAAGAGGTTTCACCTGACTGCCATCAGACTTGCTGAGTCTTAAGTCCTGGCACTTCCCTGGCTTCCAGCTTACCTCCTTTGTTCCAAGAAGTTTTACTTCCTTAAATTCTATCAGACCTAAGTTCTGCCAATTTAAGCTAGAAGTGGAAGAAAGCTTAGAACTGGTTGTAGCGGTGTCTTTTTCTGTTTAGATATCTTTGAGTCTAACTTTCTGACTCTGAATTTTGAGGATTTTATACACTTAACAGAAGACTGGGGAAAAAAGCTCAAGAGCCTAGAGTTTGAGCTGGTTAAATGCTGGAAACGTTGAAGCAATTTCTTTTCTGTTCTTTTTCTTTAATTATCATGCTAAACATTTGTCTTTCTTTAATATTATTTCTGCAATGTATTCATGAAAGTGTCTCCCAAGGAAGGCTGAGGAGCTTGAATCCCCTGGGTTCCCTGTTGGTAGGGGAACCCCTGTCTGCATCTACACTAGCTGACGCTGCATGCAGCATTTTTAAAATGTTTTCTCATTTAACTGTCACAGGTGCACCGTGCCGATGAGAGACAAAGAAGGAAAACAAGACTACAGGTGGTTACTCCTCTTGTCAGAACACTATTCTGTATTTGGGTCATATTCCAAATCCGCTGACAGACCAACATAATGATCCTAGATTGCTTTTAGGAACCACTTTTCCTTGTTGTTGTCGCATAATGGAAAATCTAGGCTTCCTGTTTTACGTGTACACTGAGAGGAAGAGTATTTTCTTGATTTGGTAGCCTTGGAGTACCTTATTTGACAGGATTCAACAGCTGGAAAACACTTGTTCACTCACCTCTGTGTCAGAGTTTTCATAATTGAGCTAAGAGGATGGCAGTTGTGGGGTGGGGCCTAGGCTGTTCTTATTCTCATGTTCAGTAATTAATGCAGTAACACTGAAGTTCTGTGAAAAGGTAGAAAAAAGAGATGTGTATGTTAATGGCAGTTCCCTTCAAACCTCAGGTGATGCTGTTTAACACATTAGACCTCATTTGAGATCCAGAAATAAAGCAAATAATAAGAATAGCTTCCAATAAATTGAGACTTTTGTTTCTTCCCAGTTTAGCAGACTGCAAAAATTAAAGATTTAAGCAACAAAGTGGTGGGGGGTGGCACTTTCCTTTGCGAAGTGCAGGAAGAGGTAAGAGTAGCCATTGCTGTCAATGAGGAACAAATATAGCATCGAGATTTAGGAAAGACAAAGCTCACAAACCCTTAGAATGCATGTCACCTCAAGGACTCCTCTTGTGTGTCTGTCAAAGTCACCATTGTTCTAATTATAGTGATCCCTCTAGGTTCAGTCTGTTCTTCCTAAGAACTTCTTTGTTTTCCATTGTCGCCCCTACTCTGTTTATGCTGCTTTTTCACTGAGCGTGGAGTTGGCTTTTAGCACAGCCAGTGGCTTCAGCTCTGTCTCTCAGGTTAACAGATGGGATTCAGGAAGCCTCCCTTTGGTTTCCTCTTGCCTTCAGAAGTCAGACTAATTCATAGCACAGATTTGGCATTGAGGTGATGGGTTGCTTGCCCTTCTGAGCTATTACCTTGGAGCCACCATTCTGCATTACCCTGCTTTTGCATAAGCCCTTTGACAAATATGGGCAGAGAGAAAACGTTAGAATAGAACAGAGGGAAGGACATCTTTATTTCACAAGAGTATATGCAGTGGTGCGGCTTCCACATTTTTTAAAAAATTAGTTGACTTTTTTAGAGCAGTTTTAGGTTTACAGCAGAACTCAGTGGAGATTACAGAGTTCCCATATACTACTTGGTATGTGTCGTATCCCCCCACCCCCGCCCTCCGCCTACACACACACAGAGGTTCCTCTGATAACATCTTGCATTAGTGTGTAGTGTGGTACCTTGGTTAAAATTAATGAACCAATATTGATACCTTATTATTAAGTAAAGTCCATAGTTTACATTAGGGTTTGTGCTTTATGTTGTCCATTCTGTGGGTTTTGACAGATGTATAATGACATGTAGCCACCATTACAGTGTCATACAGAATAGTTTCACTGCCCTAAAAATCCCTTATACTCCCTTTATTCATTCCTCCTTCTCCCCTAGCTTCTACATTTTATTTAGGCAAAATCCGTTTATTCCTTGCACTTCTCAAGAAAGAAAGTTTTCTTTTTCTTTGACTTTTCATTTGTTACACAAATACTGCTAAAAATATTTTAAAATTTATAGTCTTTCTTCCTAAAAAGTAAATTGTTCTCATTTGGTCCTATTTTTTTCCAGCCTATGTCTTTATGAATATATACTTTATCCACAATTACAAACCACAGTGTGGCATCAACATGGTGCTGTGCCTTTTTCACTTAATGCTCGTTTAAGCATAGAGAGTGGTGGATTTGGTCATTTTGACCTTACACTTGTATAAGGACTAGTTCCTGGAAAACTAGGAGACTTGATATTATGGGATGTTGGAAAATATTTGCAAGTAACATGGCATCCAGACACACACTTTCCTACTGACGATAGGTTTGTTTCTTCCAGCTAAACCGAATACTCAGTCATGCCATCTCCTCTGTGTGCCAGGTTCATGCCGGAGCCCAACCTGCCCCCGCTGCTGCTCTACGACTCGGGGTCCCTGCCCACTGGCACAGACCCACAGCAGGTGATCAACATCGACCAGCTCCGGGAGCAGCTTCCCGAGCTGCCCCGCGTGACCCGGGAGAAGCTCGTGCAACAGTATGGGATGCTGCCGGAGCACAGCTTTGCCTTGCTGGTGGGTACTGATCAGAGGCTGCGATCGGCCCAGCAGGGGCGGGGGATGCCCCTTAGGGGGCTCTAGGTGCAGTGGCCCATGCCTTCAGCTGTACCGTAGAACCAGGCGTGCTAACCTTCCTCACCAGCCTTTTTGGTAAATGCTCCTCCGAAAACCAGATGAGGCAGGATCTCGTGTCAGTCATTCCTTGTATGTAGACACGAAGAGCTGCTCACAGCGGCCGTGGAGGCTTCTTGAAGACAGTCCAAATGTTATGGACGAGTGTTCTCCCTTGCGTCTGCAGGACAAAAGGAAATCAATATATAGGCTTTCTAGATGTCTGGCAGTATTGGACATGACAGAGTCTGGCAGGAAGTGGGGTTCTTAAAAAGCCAGCCAGTTGTTTTACCAGTTGTAGAAGAAACATTTATTCCACATGAAATGCTGAAAACTCTGACTAAAAGTATTGGTCCTTAGAGGATGCATCTGAAGGGGCTGTTAAGAATCTGACACCATGGAGATGTGCTCAGGGATTTTCCATCCTTTCCAGGGCTGTTGGGCTTTGCAGTTTCCTTTGTCACGGCAACATTAAAGTGACACAGCGTCTGTGAGAGTGGCATTTCGTCACAGCTGTCTTCTGCTTGTCTGTCAGGGAGGATGTGAAAAGTTTCTCTGCTGCATCTCTCGGGGATGAGGTGTCTGCCACACTCATCGTGCGGAGCGCAGAATCCCTGGAAACTCTGGGCTTTGCATTGTAATTGACTGATAATAACTATGTAGGGATGTTAGAATATTCATATTCGTATACATATGTATATACTTCAATAACAAAACTTGGCCATTTCTGGTACAAGGTAGGCGAGCGAATACTTGTTGAATGAATGAGTCTCTCTTTATCATCCATAGATCAGCTCATTTGAAAAGTATCCAGAGTATACAAAACTCAGTTTTGTTAGGTCGACCTTGGAAAAACACACGAATCCTAACAGACTTTCCGGCTAATAGGTGTTCTGTACGAGATGCACATGAACCCTCTTTCACCACCAGTGATTAGACATGATGGGTTATTTTCTCTTGCTTTAGGCAGAGTTGCTCACCACCTCCCATGGGCTGCTGTTGTATCTTATTCACACCTCTGAGGCGATTATGTCACTGTATTTTAATTCTTTGTTAGTGTATTTCGTTCAGTGCCTTGAGGGCGAGGACGGTTTCATCCTCTCTGTCTGCTCCATTACTCGGCACAGATTAGCACATCAGCAGTGCTGACTGCCACCTCTTCGTAGGAATCAGTTAGTGAGCTTCTTGTTCAGAGCACCTCTTAACCTGAAACCTGTGGCAAGTCACGGCCTGTTCCTCAGTTGATTTAACAAACCTGAGTTTTAGTCTTACACATCTTCCCCACCATCTTGACTTTCCAGCACACTTGAAATAAACTTCAGACTCAATACTAAATGCTAAATTCCAGTCCTGCGTTTCATAACGGATTTGCCAAATTAAATAAGGGATGGGAGGACACAGACCGAGGCTTCTCAGCCCCAGAGATAGTACCCTCACCGCCAGCAAGTTCTCTGAGGCAGATGCACATTCGCACTTGTGTCTGTGTCCCAGGCTCTGCTCCCGTGACCTTCAAGTGCCACAGCCTAGGAGGTCTTGGATAGATGGTTGCTGAGGGTGGCAAGTGAGTGAGTCTCTGTTTTCATAGTTTAAAGGCCCTGTTTAGGGAAACTTATTTTTGATCTCTTCAGTACAGCACTTTTACTAGCATCTCCTGTGTAGCAGGTACTGAGACAGGGACAGGGACTCTCTTTTTTGTTTGTTTGCTCTCCAGGAATATGTACAGATGACACTACAACTAACCAGCCCCCAGGGCAGACTGCACTAGATAGATGTGTGATGTAGGCTGGGAGCCCAGAGGAGGTAGTGATTACCTTGATGGAACAGAGGGGAAAACTCTCAAGAAGGAGGTGGTTTTTGAGCCAGTTTTATAGGGACTTATTTTTTTTGATATACTAAAAATATGCTTATTTTTATAGCTTGCAGATAATGTAGTAGGTGACTCATTTCGGTTTTTTCTTTTTCTTTCAATGGCTAGTACTTGAAATTTTCAAGACGGTTGAGAAGAGAACTTAGTAGGAATGGAAAGAGGATGATTCAGACAAATTTTTTTTTCCTGAAATTAGGCATCCTGAGCCCTTGATGACTTGATAATCACTGGAAGCTGAGTTACTCATAACATACCCGAAAATGGTCTGTTCACGTTTTTTCCTCCCTTCCTCAGAAACACAACAGATTGCTGAGAAGGGCAGATGCACAAATCTGATGAACTCTCTTTCAATTTAAAGAGTGCCCAGGAGTATTCATTAAATCAGTAGCCGTGGTGGAGGTCTGCTCTGCAGAGCTCCGAGTCCACACTCCTGCCTTTGGGTCACTTATTAAACTAAACATTAAGCACATACCCACCCCGCACGGGCCTTACCCACAAATGATTAAAAAAAAACTTCAGAACTTAACTCTAGTCTTTAATTTTTTTTTAATTGAAGTATAGTTGATACACAATATTATATAAGTTACAGGTGTGTACAATATAGTGATTCACAATTTTTCAAGGTTGTACTCCATTTATAGTTGCTATAAAATATTGGCTATCTTTCCTGTGTTGTACAACTCTAGTCTTTAATTTATCTTGTCGTCCTACTGTGTGGTGAGCGCTGAATTGCGTATTGATCATTTCTCCTGGGCATTTACAAAACTCTAATATAGGTCTATCTTAGCATTCACCACAAAGTCTGGCACACAGCAGGCATCAGTGAACAGATGGACAGGTAAGTGGATGAATAGGGTACTGTCACAATACTCATGAAAGTCCTGGGAGAAGCAGCGTTCCTGATAAAGCATCCCTGTTTCCAAAGGTCAGATACATAAACCACCCTTTTGATAGCCCAGCAAATCACAGGGTGGTACCTGTGTCCTTGAGCTCCGGGGGAGAAGCCTGGGGTTTCCGCCTTAAGCTCACCATGTGCCGTGACCGGCCTCAGGTCACTTGGTCTCTCTGACTCTTGTTTTCTGAACTGGTTTCTTTAGGACATTAAATGTCTGCATTCTGGTTTCATCTCTTAAACCTGTCTGATAATCCCCTCCCGACAGGTAACCTGTGTGACTGTTTCTTCCTCTGGCCTCATGAAAAGTATCATGTCCCACCTGAAACTTCAGCCTGGCGAGCTAACCGTTCCTCCCTGTCTTGTGTCAGACTCCCTTGACTTCTGACCTCATTTGTAAGGATTATGGAGGGGACATACGGAAGCTGAGATCACAGCATTAGGATTTTGAAAAGTGAGGGATTCTGGTAGTAGAAGCACAGCAAGCTCTTCTCTGAGTCAGTGTATCTAGGATTAGTTATGAGGACAGTCAAGGTTATATGCAGGTACGTTTTTCCGGTAGATAATCCCAGGTGTTTTCTTTGGGGGCATCTCTTCCTAAACCTTGCTTTGCTGGACTCGGAACGCAAACGAATTGTTGTCATTGGCTTGATAGGCAGCGCAGAGTCGAGGCTGTTGGCTAACAGCAGGTTCTGCGGTTCACAGCAGACCACTTTCTAATCCATCCTCCCAGCACCCCCTGCTGTCGGTACCACCCATCGCCCCATTTTCCCGGTGAGGAAACATCACCTCTGTGGTTGAGTGGTTGAGTGTAAGACACTGAGTGACTTCATCAGGCCTGTGAGGGAGCCGACTGCAGGGCCCAGACTCTTTACTTCCAAGCGCTTCTGCCTGCTGGCACATACAATGTGCCACAAGGCCAAATGGAAATAATGTTTCAAGTTCATTGCTGTTTTCACTCACCTAACAGAGAAAACAGAATGTTTACTTTTGTGGATATTAATGCTTTATCCAGCCCCACTGATGCTTCATGAAACGGAGCCATAGAAATCAGTCTATTTAAAATTTTTGCCCACCCCTCTAGGTTTTTAAGATACCAGCCTGCCCTATAAATAAACATAAAAAGTGCTGTCTACTAAATTTAGTGAAAATCAGTCAACTCCAATGAAAAGCAGAAATTTTATTCATTTTCCAAGTAGAAAATTTAAGTCAGAGGAAAGAAATGTAAGCTCTTCTCTGCAGTTTTGTTTATTTTGTTTCTTAGACTTTCTGCCTTAGGTACTTGGCCCCTTCTGATGGAATCATTGAGAAGGGCCTCCACATAGTGCGTGGGGTTTGTAGGTTTTGTGGGATGATTTTGCCCAGTTCCTTGTGTCATGCACTTGGTAAGAATGCATCTGAGCTCACAGGGTAGCTGGCTGTGTATGAATTCAGTGGACAGATTTCAGTGTCATCTGTCGTGGGAGGTTTAGTGGAGGAATGACATAGCAGCCTCAATTCAGTGTTTCTTGAGAGCCCACTGTACTTACCACAGTGCCCTATGCTGTTGTCAGATGTAAGAGCTTTATCTTTTCTGTGTTGTGTTTAATTCTCCTGAGGAGCCCTGCAGGGCAGTGGGTTAACCCACTGACTAAGAGACAGACACTCTTTTTTTTTTTTTTCCTGACACGTAGTTGATTTACAATGTTGTGTTAATTTCTGCTGTACAACAGCAAACTGACTCAGTTATACACGTATGTACATTCTTTTTTATATTCTTTTCCATTATGGTTTATCCCAGGACATTGAATATAGCTCCCTGTGCTATAGAGTAGGCCCTTGTTTTCCATCCAGTCTGTATGTAATAGTTGGCATCTGCTAATCCCAAACTCCAATTCCGTCCCTCCCCCACTCTGCCCTCCCCCACTCTGCCCTCCCCCTTGGCAACGCAAGTCGAGACAGACACTTTCTTTTTTTCAAGATTTTTTTTTTTTGATATGGACCGTTTTTAAAGTCTTTATTGAATTTGTTACAATATTGCCTCTGCTTTATGTTTTGGATTTTTGGCCCCGAGGCACGTGGGATCTTAGCTCCCTGACCAGGGATTCAACCTGCACCCCATGCATTGGAAGGCAAAGTCCTAACCACTGGACTGCCAGGAAGTCC